GCCCGCGACTCCAACTCCCAGCAGCGCCCGCGAGCGCCGCCCGGCCGCGGCGCAGGGGCCGCTGCGAGGCGTAGCGCTGAAGGGACGAGCGGGCCCGCCGCCGGGCAGCAGCCACGGGCTGCTCCGCGGGAAAACCGCGGCCGAACGCCGGGGTTAGCCTGACATTTCCGTCTTCCAGTTCACTGCAAGCCTCAAAGTTAAAATTCAGTTACTACTAGCAGCCGTTGAGGCAGCTGAACGGCTCCGCTCCCAGATGAAAACCCACCGTGAAGTGTCTGGAGCCCTCTGCAAGGGCCTCCCACATGTCCCTCAACAACAGTCTCATCTATAGCATCTGTGGGACTCCCCTCGGTCTCCTTTAAAGAGTAAGATAATTTTTAACTGCACAGAAATTCTGCTTACAGGTACCAGCACAAAAGCAGTTTATTGCCAAAAGTACAGAAAACAAGGCCCACTTTCACAAGTGGAAGCATACCTAATTTAAACACAAACTCCAGCTAGCAATGTGAAGAATTTGAGTCTCTCAGACTGCTGCAGCTCCTTCTGAGGACAGCTCTTCATTAAACCATCTCTGTAAAGACCTGAATAAAAGCTTATGAAGTCCCAATTGAACACATTCAAGTTACGTTTAAGTACTGGGCAGCATTTACTGTATATCTCACCAGTCTGCATGCAGTTATAAAGAACAGAGACGAAGAGCACATACTTTCTGCACAAACTTCATGCAGTCTCTCAGACTGGAGTGGGTGAATTCCAGTCAGACACTGCAAAGACTGCCTTTGGAACAAACAACAAATTTTATTGCAAGAAAAGAAACAAGCCCAGATCATAATTTGAGACCTACATCCCCAACAACCTCTGTTTTCTGTGGAGACTTCAGATTAATCCTTTAAACTTTGAGTCATTCAATCAAACGTGATCCGAAAACTGCGCTCTTGCTCCTTGCGGCGGCTCTCGCAAACCTTTGTCACCTCTTCTACCTTCCTCTGCAACACGGCTGTGGGAGAAACAAGTGATTAATCTTACAATCCCCCTAAAACACAACCCTGCACAGTTTAGCCTGCAGAAGGAGAAAGAAAAACATGTTAATTTTGACAGTCACTCAGATTTGACAGTGCACAAAGAAGGAGGGAAACCCAACACAAAGCACTGCTAACCCTCTGAGGCAGAGAAGATTGTCTAAAAAGTACTCTGAGGCATTCAGGGACTGGCAGGCAGAATCGGAAGAGTCCTGGGACACGTTGTTGACACTTTTTGCCATGCCACTTCATTGCAGTGTCAGGGCACTGCATCAGAGAGCAGAGCAAACCCTCCCTGAACAGGAACTGCAAGCTGGTCTGCAGCTTGAGAAAAAGCAATTGCTCTATAAACCAGTTTCCCCTACCCGCCACCTGCTAAACCAGCTTTGAGTTATGCAAATTACAGGTGAACCACACAACCCGTTAGAAGTATACACCTATTTTCTTGCAGGATATCACACAGCCGTAACAAGCTTTTAACTGTAAATACCGAAAAGAGCGTGGAATCGCACAGAAGAGGGGCCTGCGTGAAGACCTCTGCCTGCCCCCTCGGTGCCAGGCCTGAGCTGAGGCCTCCTGCTGCCCTCGCCCCGGCTGCAGTAGCTGCGAATCCACGTTGACATGGGGTCTGTTAGAGCTGATAGTCACTGTAAGGCTTGAGCTGTGATTGCAACTAATACCTGTGGGGCAAAAGAGTCTATAATCTCAGTACAGAGAGGAAAGGTTGATTATGTTCCATTATATATGTTTTGACATCACACATGTAAGAGTTTGGCTAAACTTTATCCTTCCAGAGCACACAGCAGGAAAATTGTGCTTTACAGACAGTATAGAACACATTTTGTTCTATCTTCATCTGTCCCTTTTTTTTTTCTGCATAGGTGAGCAGTGGGTATTGATATGGACAGTGTTTCCTCAGGCTCTTCTCTGCAGTTCCTTGCCAAACTGCTTCATGATGCTCAAGAAGAAGAAGATGATGATGATGATGAACATGGGGTGAGTCTTTCATAAGAAATGCTGCTTCTTTTACATGTTGTACCATAGCCTAACCTTGTAATCTGAGGAGAAACAGATCTCTCTTTTACCAGAGTGAGTAAAAAGAGAATGAAAACCTTAGAAGGTTTTGGACTGACTGAAACAGCTAGAAGTTATTTTTAGGGTAACAAGCTCTTGAAGGAGAGAATAAGGAAAATGCCCCAGGAAAACAAGGAGAGATTGTGACCACAAAATGGGAGGGAGATTTAAGTTTTCAGCCTGAAGGAAATAAGAACACATAGTTGAAAGAGCTTTAGATACTTTAGAGTTCCCCCTACTTTTCCCTGAAGTCTACCAGAGATGAAGGTAATTACAGCTAAATACTTCATATGAAGGGAAAAAAGTTGCTGCTCAACTTCTGAGTAAAGACTAAAATATCCAGAGGCGACTGAGTGTGCTAAATCTGTGTTAGGCATTGAAGAACTGTAGAGATAATTGACCCTTGAAGTACCATAGATATGTTGGTGATTGTAGAATAGGGAAGGTTGGGTAATCATTCTAAGGTGAATGATTTGAATGATTAATGAGAGAAATACCTTTCCGTTCTTCTATATAATTCATCTCGGGACTAGATGAAAATCACAGCTTTTGGAAAATATATGTTGTTCTTGCAATATGCAACTGCTTTTATCTAGGCACACGTGTGCTGAGGAGAAATATCCCCGGGGGCCACAGGTGGCAACAATCACAATGTAGAAGGCCTCTGTGAAGGCTCAAAACTTTGCCATGTCTCTTAGGATTTTCAACAAGTCATGTTATGACTTGGATGACAAAAATGGCAAATGCCTCAGTGCTCTTCCAAATCACTCCTCGACAAAGAGCCAGCTGGATGACCCAGCAGTTGTGCACTAGTAGTGGCAATGGTAGTAATATTTGGGATAAAAGGGGTGGAGAAATTAGTATGAGGGCAGTTCTGCTAAATATGGCATCATTCACTTCCCTCTATCAGTACAGATACATTGGAATGTGCATTATAATCACACTTTATCAAAAAGTAGTGATACAAGTCTGTCTCCTTAAAAGTCTTCGCAGTAGACTTGTTGACCATGTTCATTCCCACACCCTTGCGACTGAACAAGCTACACTGCACCAAATCACCACACAATTACCATTTTTCTACTGGCACATCTAATAATTTTTAATTGCATAGAAATTCTGCTTACAGGTACCAGCACAAAAGCAGTTTATTGCCAAAAGTACAGAAAACAAGGCCCACTTTCACAAGTGGAAGCATACCTAATTTAAACACAAACTCCAGCTAGCAATGTGAAGAATTTGAGTCTCTCAGACTGCTGCAGCTCCTTCTGAGGACAGCTCTTCATTAAACCATCTCTGTAAAGACCTGAATAAAAGCTTATGAAGTCCCAATTGAACACATTCAAGTTACGTTTAAGTACTGGGCAGCATTTACTGTATATCTCACCAGTCTGCATGCAGTTATAAAGAACAGAGACGAAGAGCACATACTTTCTGCACAAACTTCATGCAGTCTCTCAGACTGGAGTGGGTGAATTCCAGTCAGACACTGCAAAGACTGCCTTTGGAACAAACAACAAATTTTATTGCAAGAAAAGAAACAAGCCCAGATCATAATTTGAGACCTACATCCCCAACAACCTCTGTTTTCTGTGGAGACTTCAGATTAATCCTTTAAACTTTGAGTCATTCAATCAAACGTGATCCGAAAACTGCGCTCTTGCTCCTTGCGGCGGCTCTCGCAAACCTTTGTCACCTCTTCTACCTTCCTCTGCAACACGGCTGTGGGAGAAACAAGTGATTAATCTTACAATCCCCCTAAAACACAACCCTGCACAGTTTAGCCTGCAGAAGGAGAAAGAAAAACATGTTAATTTTGACAGTCACTCAGATTTGACAGTGCACAAAGAAGGAGGGAAACCCAACACAAAGCACTGCTAACCCTCTGAGGCAGAGAAGATTGTCTAAAAAGTACTCTGAGGCATTCAGGGACTGGCAGGCAGAATCGGAAGAGTCCTGGGACACGTTGTTGACACTTTTTGCCATGCCACTTCATTGCAGTGTCAGGGCACTGCATCAGAGAGCAGAGCAAACCCTCCCTGAACAGGAACTGCAAGCTGGTCTGCAGCTTGAGAAAAAGCAATTGCTCTATAAACCAGTTTCCCCTACCCGCCACCTGCTAAACCAGCTTTGAGTTATGCAAATTACAGGTGAACCACACAACCCGTTAGAAGTATACACCTATTTTCTTGCAGGATATCACACAGCCGTAACAAGCTTTTAACTGTAAATACAGAAAAGAGAGTGCAATCGCACAGAAGAGCTGCAGAGCACTTGCAGCCACAACACAGATCATCTGTTATTTGCAGATCACCCATTTGGAAACACATAAGCCACTGATTGATCATCAACTTCAAATGCAGCAGGCATTGCAATATACAAAAAAATCTTGGCACAAGCTAAAGCCATTTCTGATTTCATTCCATGAGAGCTTATCAGAAGCTATTCAACAGGGCTACGGCATCACGTCAGCCTCCATATTCCAGGTTAGGTTTTATTTCGTACAGCATGCCAAACCCAGAATCTTCCGGTAACATATTAAGCAGCACACTTCAGTTTGTCACTTTTCAAAAATTCACCATGCAAAAAATGATTACGGCATAAAACGGCAGTCTGCTTCACTGCCTCACCGATCTCTCTCGCTCAACTCGGAATTCAGTGGTAACTACGAAAGAGAAGACCCTGTGGTTCTCTCAGGAGGCGGCAGAAGGTCAGAACAAGGCTTTGTCCAAACACTCCTTTCACTTGGGGAAGCCGCACCGCCCTGCGTCCATGTTCAGCAAGTCCATTTAATTGTGGCAGTGTAGGTTAATAGTAATTCAAATAAAGTGCCACAGTTGCACATAATTGTTTAACAAGTCAGACAAGTTAATAGCCACTGTGTATGAGCATGCCTAGAAAAGATCACTGGCTGTTGTGAAACAGTCCTGGAGGTGTTCCACAGGAAGCAAAACTGATAACATTACCTACAGCACAGATGCCCTAGTTCTGGTTTGGGGGGGGGAGGTTTAGTACTTTTTTAATACAAAAAGAATGTTAAGGAATGTGTCCTTCCCAGGCCTACTCAATTACTAATTGCAAGGGCTGTGTGAAGGCTTACTTCAAAATTGCATCGTTTTTCCACCGTACCACTTCAGTGCACACAGTAACAGGAATTCTTCTCCTTGCTAAGGACCCCACAGAAACAAAGAAATACATTAACCTTTTTTAAAAACTGCAATTTCTTAGGCTTATTGCTTCTTTCTTGTTTGAAGGTGAACTGAAGATGAACTGTTTCTTTAGATGTACATTTCCCAGCAAAGAGAATGAATTGTTATTAACTGATAAGACAATTTCTTCGGTACTGAATCACAGAGGAAAAACTGGGTCTCCTTTCTAGGAAAATTTAAAGGTACCAGGTTGCTATTTTCACACACATTCTGTAAAGTCAGAATTCTGATGCCACAGGAGCTGCACCAGATTTCCCAATAAAGCCATGTTTGGAATGCAGAAGTTGGCATCCATGTTCTGGAAGAAAAAGCCAAATTAAATCCTGACCTAAGCCAATAATACTATTTAAACATGGACAGTAGTATGCCTGCTTTCACCCAAGAAGTACACCAGCTGTGAGCACTTTCACAGCACTGCAGCCAGACAGTGCAATTTGGTACTGGTGAGAGGAGCACTGCTTTATTCTGCCATGCCCTTGTGTGGCTGCTAACATCAGTTAAAATCAAAACCGTGTCAAATTCTCAAATCCCTCACAAGGAGGCACTCCCTGTGAGAAAAGTTCCTTTTTTCTGTTTTAGTATGGCATCATGGTATACTAGTTAAGGGTGAATCCAAGACAAGAAACAACAGTAACTACACTATCAGGTTTTCACTATTGAGTGCATCTTCTGCTCTGCACTACATCTCAAGTTATTGCTACCGTGAAAGTTCCACACTATTACTCCAGAGTTACCACGCCTGCAGATAAATGCATGCTGCTCAGTCTTACCTGGATTTGGCTTTCCCATTGCGGGGGAGAGGATGATAACATTAAACACACACACACCCCCCTCACCAATTGTCCTATTCCAAAGGGAAACCCCATAACATTTTAGAAGTTGAAATATTTAACCTTAGTTTCGCAGAACAATGCATAAGGTTTTCAAGTCCTCTGCTTTGCACTGATGCGTTGCACTGCTTGTGCTTTTTTGTAAAACACTAGCAGTTGCCAGGAATTACTTCTCAGCAGAGGCCTTTAATGCACATCAGGAGAATTCAAGCACAGAAGGGACTGTGTCATTGAAGGTGAGGAGCAGAAGATTCCTCAGGGATCTTCAGGAATTCATTTATGTTCAAGAAACACTGGCACACATGCTGCATGCTTTCCCAAAAAGCTGCAAGATGACACTCACCTGAGTTCTGGTCAATCCACTGCAATGAATCCATGTGCGCATTCAAAATTTTACAGATCTGCTGAAGCTGAGCAGAAAGAGAAGGAGCAAGTCATTTGTTACACTACATAGAAACTAAAGAGTAGTAAAAGACAGCCTGCCTGTCCCTGCCTTTGGAACATGATGCAATCAAATTTCTCATATGTACAGCTCCACTAACTTAGCACAGCCAGTTTCCCAGGGAAGTCTGTCTGTGCAGCAGCTGTGTTGCTTTGCTTCTCTTTACCATTAAGAAAACACTGGTTTAGAGTATATGCCTGTGGCTTAGGCTTATTCCAATTCAGACCTAGGAACCACCACAACATTAATCACCTTAGGCCCGAGGTGGCAAAAGTAAAAAGGAATGGGGAAAAAAGTCTGCAATACTGAAGGGAAATTTTACTGAAAAAAAAGCTTCTCGGAAAAGCCACAAGGAATATCAAGATCATTTTAATACATATCAGAAAGAGCTGGTAATTCAGATCTTGTTTTCATGAGGATACAAAAGTAGTATAAGGAAAAAATATCAGCAGTTACGGAGGGCATGCTGAACAAAATTTAGATTTGCCTCAAGAAAGATGCAAGCAGTGGAGCAGGTAGCTGGATCAACGTTAAGAAATACCTCTGAAACAAGTTGTAATCTAGGCAAAAATTAGACAACAAGTAAATAACCAGAGTTCCTACCAGAATGAGATACTTTGAAAACTATTATCAGAACTGCAGAGTAAGTATGTGAGTCAGGCTGGCTTGTGCTGTGTTATAATGCAAGTCTTACCAGAAGAGAACCAACCCAAGGACGAAACAAAAGACCCTTCCAAGGTTGAAACTACAAGCACCAGAGTATCCACGAGTGGAGAAATGAAGAGTTAGAACTGTTTAAATATCCTTTGCCTCTTTACCAACATACAAAAAAAGTAAAGCTTGGATTTACCGGGTCACTCGTGTCTGCTGGGCCTCTCGATGTATTCAAATGCTCAGTGATGTCCTTCAGATCTTGTGCCATACGCTTCAACTGAGCATCTATGTTTTCAGCCAGTTTATAGCTGCAAAATGCACGGGAACCAAGGTCAGAATATTTAAAGTGAACTTCTGACTGGGCAGAAGACCTGCTCCCAGTCACACCAACTTTGGGCAATCAGAATCAGCTTCTATGCCTTTCAACTAAGGCTGGCAGGTACGTGGGAACAGCACCATGAGAGGCATTCTGTCACACAGATGAAGTAATCCCTAACCTCTCTCTCTCTCGATAGATACAGGGAGACAGACAAGCAATGGAGGGCTTTTGGAAGGTTTTGTCAGAACTGAAGGAACCAGCTAGTCCAGATTCTTCAAGATTCCTATCTCTTGAACCAGACAAACACTTCTTTTAATTACCTTGCTACGATTCAACACTTAAGGCTTACAAGGATGCTTGAGCCACACATAGTGCATTCTGCTCTCATCACTTCTGTCACTAAATAACCATTATTTTTCAGAGATTATGCCAAAATCAGTAACCTTTTCCCAGACAGCTGATTAGACCAACATCCAAAGAGCTTTTCATGCTGATTCAAGGGCTTCCAGTTGCAATTCCCCTGTTTCTAACGTGTAAAATCTAAGTTGCCATGCATAAAACAGGATTACACGTTTGACAAAGGCCGTTGATAGATCAATATTGTCATGCATCCCAACTCTACTTCTTGCTGATTGATCATCACCACATTAGTCTGCTCATCACATGTTCAAAGCAGATTTTTGTCTTACGTCCTCTCCCGTTCTTCATCTGCATGCTGCAAGTAGATAGTTCCGCTCTGCTCCTTCACAGACTCCTCCAGAGGGGTCAACAAGTCTTCAAGCTCTTTCTGCTGTGACAGAATGAAGTCCAGTTCCTGATCCAGTCTGAAAAGAGAAAGTGTTAACTACTCCACTTAGAAGTTATATGCATTCTAGATCTGCCATAGAACAACGCAAGAAGACGCAAAAAAAGAAACAAAATCATCTCAAGTGTTCATAGTTTCGTACCTCTTCTGATCAAGCTTCACTTTCTCTACTTCTCTGTGTAATGAAGTAATCTGGAAACAGAAGACACTTAATTATACTACGAAAATTCAAAACTCAACTTATGAAAGAAGAGTGGTGGAACTGAGAAAGCCCGCACCATACAAATGTCTACTAGAAACAAGAAGCAGTTACATAAAGATTTACAGACCAAAAATTGAATAATGGAGGTTTGGCTTTGAAAGCTCCACCCTAAGATAACTTGTTATCATAGTGTAAACTCACAGAACAGATTTCCAAGCTCCAATGCCTACAGACCAGACCAGACATACAGTGAGTCTTTCACAAGCATCCAGATGTAATTCACATCTCTCTTTTTTACAACTAGGAAGTCCCACTAGATGGCTTGCTGCCTCTGTAACACTTAAAGCCTTTAAGGATCTAAGCAAGCAAAACCAGGTTACATTGCACGTCACCTTACCTTCTCTCCATTCTCTATCAGCGTCTGATCCCAGGCATTAACTTGTGTAGCTTGATGGAGAAAGTGTTTCTCTTGGTCTTCCAGTTCCAGACTCCACTTGTTTATCAAACTCTCCAGCTGGGCATACGTCATCACTGGAGGTGCACTGAGAGGAAGTGCGAGACAGTACAGAGCACAAGATTAAAAACCAAAATGTAAACATGACAACACTCATTTCCCCTTCCTCCACCAGATACCAGCATTAATACTGCCTCTTGCCCCAGTCGGGAAATAGTCGGTTATAACAAATTTCTCACCTGGTTGTGGTTGTTGTGCTTATGGCAGCTGTAGAAGTCCCAGCTCCAATGGCACCGGTCGTAGTTAATGGCTTAAGATTCAAAGCAAAGCCAGAAGCAGAAGTAGTGCCTGAAAGAAGAGGTTCAAGTCAAGCAACAGAAGAGGACACATCTGCCATCTAACAAACCGAGAACAGGTCCAATATACACTTCTAAGCACAGCGCTGTATGAGCTCAAATAGGTCCCTTTGAAGGAACAAAAAGCAAATCCCACGTCTGTCAAGAAGGGAACGAAGCACACCTTGACACAAAAGTAGTGGACTGTAAATGCCTGACTCGTAGTTCTAGTAAGAAGAGGAACTGTCAGCCTGCACTTAACCTGGGCATTATTCAAAGAAACACAGCATTAGCCCACACCCCTCTCAATCTCCTCATGTTTTAATATTAGGCCTAATAACTACCAGCACACCCAGTTCCTCTCCTGCGTCTTTGCAGAACATGAGATTTCTATGTTTTCACAAAGCTAAGAGCATCTATCAGATGGAACTGTCAGTCAGTCACGCGGCACTTCTAGGCACTGCGCTCAAATTCTTCACAGTCACTCCAGAAACAAGCTTTAGAAAGACCTTGAGAGCTGAGCAGCATCCATGTTATTACACTGAAAACTGACCAGTAACTGCATCCAGAAAAGGATGTTCAGTCCTGAATCCCAACACTGTGCAGCAGCAAATTCCACTGCAGGTTTTCACATGACGGTTGCCACTTAAACACAGCACTCATCTCTGCTTTTTTGTTTTGTTTTTGAAGAAAAGTTAATGAAATCCAACGCTTTGAACCTCACAATTAGGAAGAAACAGATTAACGGGGAAGAACTGAAACATAAAACATCTCTCCCTAACACTCCCGGCAAGTCTTTGGCCTCTCCCTTCCCCCATCAGGACACCTCTCCCTCACCTCTTAGAGCAATCTGCACCTACACAGGCAGGCTAGAGAAGGAGCAGCTCGTCTATTTACTTTACTTGCTCCAGACTAGAACATCAAAGCCTACGGGCCTTCCTTCACCCAAAGTCCCTTTGCTGTGGACAGGCTCTCAGAAGTCATAAGTAACTGTGCATTTGGGGAGATGGAAAAGGAGGATCAGAGAAAGAAATACTGTGTTATTCTCAGTTATGGGAGGGCATTAGAAATTAGAACTGCTGTGCTGCTACGCCAGCGTGGCCCTTTACGCTACTACAGAGCGCTGAAGTCAGGCTTCCTTCTCTGCAGTTACTTTCAGCATCTAGTTCTTACTAGTGGCAGTGCTTGTCGCAGCCGCTGTTGTTCCAGGAACTTTTAATCCAAACCCAAGCGTTCCAAGACTGGCTGTCCCAGTGGAAGGGGCACCAACTGCAAACAGAAGACAACATTAAGAGTTTGCGTAACCCATTAAATACAGTGCCCCTCTGAAAAGCTCTACCCTGCCTGCTCACCCATCTCCATCTGGTCTTTATTTGTATTAACCAGGATCACTGTTTAGGTGAAGGATCATCCAGACACAACGTGAAAAAAGGCAGGCTGAAGCCATAAAATAGCCAGAATGCTCTGCGATTCTTCCAGGAAACTTCATCAACCCAGGGTGCCAAGCTACTGTCACTTCCCTTTACCTATTTTCAATTATCTAACATTTAACTGCTATCAAATGCTAACATAAGCAAAGGGTGCTGGACACTGGCAGGCAGGAAACGTAATCTCTGCATGCGGCTACTTGCTAAAGCAATACAACTGCACATACTACAGGAAACACGCTGGTCACATCTCAGTTGCCTGTAAACAACCCACCTATTATCATCTAAGAACAAGGTTTCAGGCATCCTGAAAACAGAGAATGCCCATTAGCTTAAAAGCATTCTTAAACACCAAGATGAAGGTCAGCTTTGGAACTACAGTAGCAATGCAAGCATTGTAGAGCTACTAAAAATACAAGTTGTTAGGCTGGTATATACGGCGTCTACAAATTGCAGCTGATTAGTTAAAAGTAATCAGTGTGGCTTTAAAACTTGTGAAGGTCCTTGGGAGCAGCTGCCTAAATTTTCAGAAGTAGGTGTAAGACAGCACTACGTGTGGAATAGTTGTATTAAGTCTGGTAAACATTGGCATTTACTGTAGCTAGTCTCCATAATCAAAGGCAACTGAAGCATTAATGTCTCATTGCAGGCTGAGGAAGAAAGCTGTTAGGACTGTCTTCAAACCTGGGCTACTGCCTTAAAGCTATCAGAAAAGAGACACTATTTCCTGCCATAAAAATAACTTTGCAAGAGGAAACTTGCCAGTTATTACCAGAGGAACTTGCAAACATACAGCTGTGTGAATACTTGTTTTTAGCACGCTGCATCTCCACTGTCACAGGCCACTGTTCTTGAAGAAGCGTGAACACCTAATGCAAGAGTCAAAGGCAGACGTAACCAGACTCAAGGCACTGGGGTCTGGAAGACAGCAGCTAAAACATCACTAGAAAGCTCAGTTGTGGCGATACTACCCAGACAGAGAAACAAAAAATTCACATACAGCTACAACTGCCACGTGCTGCTTGCCCACTCTGAATCTAAAGCGTGTTTTGGTTTGAACAAAACCCTCCGTGCCTCACCACTGAAGAAAGTTTGCCAGAAATCACAAAGAGGGAGGGTGGCAAACAGCGAGAAGAGCTGGCCTTTTGAATGCTCCCGTATTACCCGAGCATCTGCAGCTCCACTACTGACAGGTAGCACCAACCATGCTGCTCATTTATTTCCCCAACAGTTAAAATCTGTACATTGTGACTTACGTGAGAGGCCCGTGGTGGTAGACGACGTCGGTGCTGAAGAACTCGCTATAGATGCAAACAACGTAGGCCCCGCTGAACCAAGAATGGAGGTTGTGGTGGTAGCGGCAGTTGTAGCAGCTGTGGATGTTACTACAAACAGAAAAAGCATAGATCTTGTACAGTCATGCTGAGAACGGGATACAAATTTGCCTATCTACACCAGTTTTTTATGGGTGTAAAAATTTTAAACGTTTTCCCTCTTATTCTACCTCAACTCTATCTCTTTACCAAAATACCCTTTAAACCTGTGGCTCCCTCCCACTATGCTCCAGCAAGAAGTACAGAACAGAATTTGGTATGTGGGACGCAATAAAAAGTACAGGATACCGAGTTCAATGGCTGCGTGAACTGCCACGGATTACTGATGCCATTGCAAATTCACAGCAACAAACACTTCTAGCCCATTTCCAGACTCCAGTTTAGAAAACTATTCCCAGAAGGACAGCAGATTCACAAAGTCTCGAGTAATTATTTCCTAAAATCACTTCCTACCTCCAAGTTTGGTTCCAAAGGACAGAGTGGGTCCCTGGCTGGTACTAGTGGTCAGCGTTGCCGCGGGTGCACTAGTGGCTGCTGTTGAAGGCAATGACCCAAAGTTTAGAACTGGAACAAGTAGCGTAAGTAAAAGGCGAACCTTTTACTACAGAGACATTGTGGTTTCTGCTGATCGCAGTAATAGTCAAGTTAGAAGCAGTAAGAGTGTAAGAAAAAACCTTAATATTCAGTGTAACAAATACTCTGCGTTATCCAGGAAATGAACGAGGGCTAACAAGCTCGTTACCTACAAAGACTTTCAAGAACGATTCTAACACAGATGAACATCACCCTCACCCCAGAGCTGATGACCTTCCCTCCGAGGCCTGCACTGTCACCAACAAGTAAATCAAAAGCTGCAAACTGAACTTTTACCAGACTCTGCAGGAGTGGGCAGGTTCCTGCTTCTGGGAAGGTGAACAGTGGTTTATCACAGAAATCAGCCAGACCAAGGTGCTGTCCTGAGAAAGTTCCCCAAATACATGCTTTGCTTGGCCAGACTGGCCTAGACAAGAGACAAACTCACTAGCTCATTTAAACACATATTCAAACTCTGCCAGTTACTGTAAGGTGAAGAAACAAATGGATTCAGCACACCTGCAGGGATCCTAATGGATGGGGTTTTCTGTCTGTATTACCTGCCGGCCTCAGGAAAACAAGTGATCAATACAAGTTCAATAACGCTTGAGGTTGGAGACATCTACTTCCCATGAAAACAGTGTGCCGAAGGCTAAATAGCACTTGTTACTCATCGCTGAAGACCCCGGGCAAGCATATCAGAAAAACCACTGATTCCAGCCACTTGCTTCATTTCACACCAGCAGAAGCAGGAGGCTGCAGAACCTCCACACCATCCCCAGTTGCCCTCCCTGCTGACAGGCTACCTGACTACAGCTGCCATGTCAAGCCCAGGCGCTCACCGGCAGACTGCCCCCCAAGGCAGAAGGGGGTTGTCGACTGGGTTGCAGCTCCTAAGGTGGCAGCAGTGGTGGCAGCAGCTGCAGGTGCTGTTCCAAAGGTCAACCCGGTGGGCGCTGCCTGTGGAGCTGCAGTGCCAATGTTGAAGCTGGGCGTTCCGGCCTGAGTTGTGGTACCACTGGAGAAAGTAAACGTTCCAGTTGTCCCAGACTGAGCGGTGGTGGTGGTGGTGGTGCCAGCAGATCCAAACACAAAGCCAGAAGGGGCAGCTGCTTGACTTGAGGGCACGCTGGTCGGTACAGAGCTACCAAATCCAAAGCCCCCTGTGATTCCAGTAGCTTGAGTTGCAGCGCTGCCTCCAAAGTTTAATTTTGGTGCGTTTGTCCTGGAGAAGAAAAGAAAAGAAGCCCATCTGTTTGAGACGTGCAGCCAGTCAAGTACTGAGTCGGCCTTCTTACAGACCATTTGCTGACAGCAGAAGCCACCTTTCAAAAAGACGCGCACTTGTCCAGCTTTATGCTTCAATTTTGACAAAGACTGTATCGCAACTCCTGTCACCTGCAATCCTCTGTCAAGTCTCTTTATACTGACTCCCCCTTAATTACCTCCACCCATCCAGGCACCAGAAGACATTTATGGCAGCGTAAGCAAAGTTGCTTATTCTCTCAGCTCCCGAGCACCCTTTTCACTTCCTCTACATAAGACTATTTTTTTCAACTAACTTTTGCTGCTAGTCCCCATTTGAGCTCCCTTCCCACTGCTCCCATCTGGCAAGCTTCAACAAGAGCAGTTCTGAAGAACCACCTCAAAGCTTACAGCCTTTCCTAAGGACAAAACGGTCCCACTTGGCTGAAGAAACATTCTGAGCGCTCCAGTTTCGGATCAGAAAAAACAAGACGTTTCATGCTCGGACGCAAAGTTTTGTAATTTCTTCACGCAAGCATCAATACCCCAATTACAGACTGAAGTGTGGAACAGCTTATTCTTAATACCCATCTGAAAAAGCCAGCATTGACAAATAACAGGTCTCACCGACCGCTTTCCCGAATGTGCCACAGTGCAGCGGGAATTCTAAGGCACAAGAGCAGCAGGTTTGCTCCCTCGAGAACTACTTGCAAAGCACTTCCAAAGCAACGAGGAGGACCTCATCCATTCACGCTCCCCAGTGGCCAGGGCCGCCCAGCAAAGCCAACAGCCCCACCCCGCGACCGGCCGACCCCCGGGCCTCTCACCCCAGCGGGAACACGTTTGCTGCCGGAGCCGCGGTGGCCGTGGCCGGCGTCCCGAAGCTGAAGCTGGCAGGCTGCGCGGCAGTGCCCGGCGTGCTGAAGGAGAAGAGCCCGGCGGGCTGGCTGCTGGCAGGCGTCTGGGCCGCGCTCCCGAAGCTGAAGCCCCCCGAGGCGGCAGGCGTGGAGAAGGAGAAGCCGGTCGTGGCCGTCGTGGCGGCCGTCTTCGGCGTGCCGAAAGTGAAGCCGCCGC